AAGTCCTTTGTCTGAGGAACAATAGACTAAGATTTTTCTTTTTGTGGGTTGTCTTTTCACATCCTATTGGTGATTTCTTTTGAGGTGCAAAAGCTTTTTAATGAGATCCTAGTTGTTGATTCTTTGAAGTATTTCTCATACATTTATGGTTCTGTTCTTGAAGTCTCTGCCTACACCTATGTTTTGAAGACTTTTACCTTTTTCTTTCAGTAGACTTAGTGTTTCTGTTTTAATATTTAGATCTTTGATCTATTTTGACTTTATTTTAGTGCATGGTATAGGCATGAGTCTAGTTTTAGACTTCAGCATGTGGAGAGTCAGTTTTCCCAGCACTGTTTATTAAAGAGGCTATCTTTCTTCTTGTGAACCTGTTTGTCTCCTTTGTCAAAGATAAGGTGGCTGAGTGTGTTTGTAGTATGTCTGCATCTTCTGTTCTGTTCCATTGATCTTCAGGTCTGGTTTTTGTCATTACCATGTTGACTTTAATCACAGTAGTTTTGTAGTATAATTTCAAGTCAGAGATTGCGATACCTCCTGTCCTGCTTTACCTTTGTTGCCTAGGATTGCTGTCACTATTGTAGATCTCTTCTGTTTCTTCTGTTGTTTTGATAAGCTTAACTTTATACTTTACCTGACATTTTTCTTTCATAGATTTTAGTATTCTCTCTTTGTTCCAGATTGCTGGGATTTTGAAACTTGGTGTGGAAAGGTTCTTTTCTGGTTGTGTTTATTTAGGATTCTAAATGGACCATTCAGCTAAGTGTCCATTTTTATCTGTAAATTTGGGAAGATTCAAAGTTTCTGGCAGTGATTTTGATAAGTAAGTTTTTATGCCTTCAGTTTCTTTTTCCAACCCTCTAATCTTGATTTTTTTTATTCTATAATTCTTTTTTTAAAAAGATGTATTTAGTACAGGGTCTACAAGGTCTCATGACACAGATCGGACTCATAGTGATCCTTCTGTTTTCAGCCTCCCAAGAGCTGGGATTACTGGTGTGCTCCACCATGCCCAGTGTCAATCACCCTTTCAGCATGCCCTGGGGACAGGGTCAGTATGGCACCCTGGGGTTCGAACCCTGGTTCCTGCATCTGCCTAAGCAGGTACTTTAGTCTGCTGAGCTGTCTGGCTGGCCCTGTTCCTATAATTCTTAAATTAGTTGCTTTAGAATCATCTGGGAGCTCTTGAATACGCTTCTAGTGAATCCTTGTTGTTTTTAGGATATCAGTGAGCAAGGAATCTACTACATTGCTCTTGTCCTCAAGTCCTGGTATTCTGTCTTCTAGCTGGTCATGTCTACCTGGCATGGCTTTGAGATGGGTTTTTTTCTTTCAAGGAGTTCTGCTTGATTTTTTCCCATAATCTCAATTTCTTTACTAAAGTGGACATTCATTTTTTTTAAAGTAGTCATTCATATCCTGCCTTGTTTTAATCCAGTCAGCCATTGGTGTCCTTTTTAAGCTTGTTGAACATCTTATTAAATCATTTATCTCTATATTCAATCCTCTTTGAGCTCATTGAATGTCTTACATATATATGTTCATTGATGCTTTGACCCCTTCAAACATTTAAACCATATTTTAAAAATTCTTTGCCTGAAACTTCTACTGCTCCAGAGCCCATGAGATCAGCTTCTGGAGAGTTGTGAATTACCTGAAGTAACTTATCACTTTGTTTTCTCATGCTTTCTGTGTTTTTGTGTTGAGTATTTTAGATCACCTGGGCTAGAAATCTATGCACTATCATAGAGACTCCCATCCCTGAACTGCAGGAAGAGAATAACTACTGGTAACGTCTACATGCGAAGAGCCAGTCATATAGCAAAGTACAATACAGATCTAGTTTAGCAAGGTGTTTACTGTTTTGCTAACCCAGGAATACAAAGGATTAGTAATGGTAAAGAAAAGTCTGGGAGATAGAAGTAAACAAAAGAAACAAAAGCAAGTAAACAAAAATAAATAAATAAATAAAGTAAATGAAAGAGAGGAAGTAGTTTTCAATATTATTTTTATACTTATTAAGAAGAGCTCTTGTATTTGGAAGTTGAGAGGGCTTGGACTTTGAAATAGTATCTTGGTTTCACTGTTTTTTAAACTGAAGCTATATGAAGCTTGTGGATTAAACAATACATTTCTAAATTTCCTTTTTTACCAAAAAGGGAAGAAGAGAAGGAGGTTTGGGAAGGTACGTGGAAAGCTAGAGGAAAGAGAGATTTTTAAGTAGATAACTGAACAGTCTTTATAGAGATTGTATTTAATTTATCAAGTTGCATATATCCTATGTTAGAAGACCTAAGCAACAGCCTTTGTAATAGAGAATATGATAGGTCAGTGTGAAACACTCTAGAGACAGAAAAGACAGTTATACTCACACACTGTGCTTCATAAGCATATTCTCCTCACACACACCCTACAATAAGCCAAAAGAATTAAGCTTTTTAGTGCCAGGGAGATAGCTCAGCCCGGCAAGCAGATGGCCCTCAGTTTGATCTCCAGTATTGGGAAAAAAAGAATGAAGCTTTCATAGTAGCCTTACATACAAGAAAAGAAGGAGGAGGAGAGGATGCTTGTAAGAAAGAAAAACAAAATAGAGAGAAATTGAGTCCAATTAATAACCTAACTGAGCAAGTAATTTATAAAGCCCTAAAAAAATAATCCTCAGCAAAGAGGAACCCAATATAAAATGCTAAGATACTGTAGTATACTATATTTAGATTAACCTTAATACCTTATGTGTAAAAGAAAAATAGACAAGAAGAAGGGAAAATTTAAGTACAAATATAGACATATGTAAAGGAGGAGCTGAGAGATAAGGGGAAATATAAAGGGAGAAATGAGGGTAAGGAGAGGATGAGATTGTAGGTGGGAGGTGAGACAAGAAATAGGGAGATTGTATCAAACTGCTTACCTATCAGTCAAGCAAGATTAGATAACACTTAGAAACCACCTTTGGAGTGGGCACATGGGATTTCACTGCATGGAATGCTTTACAAGCAGTGGCAGAGTATTTATACACATAGCTATAACCATGTGCACATATAAAAAGCAGACCAATCAAAAAAAAAAAAAAAAAGTCAAGCAAGCAAAAGAAGAAACAAAAATGCAAAATGCATGCAAACAGCACCATGCTTGGGAGCCACTGGTGACCTTGGAATGTTAATGGGTCCTTGCCTACAGGTGGCAACTATGGATCCCCAGTAGAGATATAGTTGCAGGCTCTATTTGCTCCACCTGGTACAACTCCCTCAGCTTCCCATTGCCAGTTGTGTCCCTGTTCCACTCCATTTCTCTTGGCCCAGAAACTCACGTGGTCCCCTGTGGTGAACTAGGAGGGAGTAACCCCGTTCCTGCACACCTTGCTGATGGCTTTTCTCTGCCTCTGAGCAAAGCTATACTCCTGCTTGTCCATGTTCAATCTGGTCTGGGATTTCAGTGATTTCTGGGGGTCAGCAGGAAGGAGTTCACATAGGCAGGGTTTGGCCACATTTAAGGAGCTGTGGGCCATAATTCAGATGAGCACAGAGCTGAGAGATGTTTGGGGGTGCAAGAGGAACCGCAGGCACTGAGCTCAGTGATATTTAGGGGGCAGCAGAAGAGTGCCTGTTATACCACAGCCCCAGAGCCTTTTCCCCACTCTGAGATCCTACTGGCCACAGCCACTGCAAGCCCCCAGGATTCTGTCTCGCAGATCCCTGGATGCCTGGTTCCCAGTCCCTCACCAGCACTGTGCTCCTTGTCCGTGTCTGTTCTTAGGTGTCCCTGATCCTAACTCGGTCACTGCCTGTTCAGTGGTTCTCTGGCTTGTGCTGAGTCCCCTGGTCTGAGCAGGCACTCTGTTGTGACTGTCCCATTCACTGAGCGCCATCTCCCAGCAGGAAGAGAGTTGGGGGGGGGGCACTGAGCAGTGGCTCCTAGGTTGGGTGCCAGTCAGCAGCCAGGCAGCCATTGATGCATCCAGTTTCTTCCCTCATTGGGATCTGAACCTTTCCCAAGATGGTTTGGTCACCAGACTTAGGCTGTAAGCAGTGTCTGGATCCAGAAGTGACCCTGCTCCTTACTCTACCTAGCCCTGTTGCTAGATTTCGTCTAACAGGCTTCAAGTTGCTTCGCATGGTTTGATTTTTGTTCACCCGCACCATATCTGAGTGTACCTATAGACCTTGATGGGCATCTTCTGGTGGGCTGGCTCTAGCCCACCATAACACTTTCCAGATGTACCCATTGTGAAGGGAGTTGAGGAGAAGAAAAAGCGGCTGTCACTGGATGAACCCCAAGGATGTTGTCTACATGAAACAAATCCAGTCACAAAAAGGCAAATCCTGTGTGATTCCATTTATACTGTATTCAGCATGGTCAGATTCATAGAGACAAAGTCGAGGCTGGAGAGCAGACAACAGGGGATTGTTGCTTAATGGGTTACAGGGTCAGTTTCACAAGATGAACAAGCTCTGGAGATGGAGGTGGTGATGGTGCACAGCAGTATGAATGTATCAATGCCGCTAAACTGTGGTGCTTAACAGGGTTAAGAGCTTCAGCTTAATGTGTATTTAGGAGTGGGCAGAAAAGCATGAAGGGGAACAGCCCCAAGGCAAAGGGGTGAGGGTTCTGGGAACTTTGAGGAGTGTGGTGGGGTTGAAACTGTTGGAGGATGGGAGAAGTGGTAGCAAGAATGGAACTGTGAAGGGAAGAATTTTCAGGGTGGAAGTAGATGGTTTTCTGAGGTGTTTAGAGATGAGTGGGAGTAAAGACGGAGCTGGCAACAGAGGACCCAGTGGATCAACAAGGACAGTGTGGTTATGGAATGGAAAACACACACTGATGTCCAGTGTGGGGCTTCAGGCGAAGCAGGGGCCACAGCATGTCCTAAGGTGCCCAAAGAGTCTACACACTTACTCGGTTCTCTTCCACCAGAGAGCTGCCAGCACAGATCAAGCCTTGTGTGAAGACCCCTGAGCCCGGATGGCCCAGAGTCTACCAGGCCCTCCGATGCCATGAAGTCACCTGCACGTCAGCCCTTGGGGAGAAGCCAGATCTGTCTGTCATTAACTCTGAAGTGCTGAATGTACATTTCCTTATGCAGGAAGGAGAAGGCAGTGGAGCTACTCAGGATTCCTGGTCTGATGGCAGTTCCTTTGTCTGAGTGAGAAGAGTCCCAGTTGCTCATTCCTTTGCTTAGCAAATTCTTTTTCTCTGTATAATTGAAAGGTCTGACTGAGATTAAGCTTTGACCCAGAAGAAAAAAAAGAACACAACAAGAAATGATTTCAACTGACATGGGCTTCTTCCCAAAGCAACTAGAGCTTGAGTTTAAGAGAACAAATTGGAGTTGAGGTTTTCATTTCTCAGGAATTTCACTGAGTGGAAGAAATGCAGAGCAAATGGAGGCAGCTGCTTATTCCCCCAGCATCTCTACCACAGCCCCAAATATGGTGAGAGCATCTGCCTTGAGGTGGTGGGCCGAGCGCAGTGGGAGAGAACAGTGAGGCTGCTGACAAAAGTACCTGGTGGTTTTGCATGTTGAGTGTGCCAGGCAGGCCTTATGTGACAGCTAAGAAGTAGTCTCTCATTTATTTCCTATAACAACCATATGAATAGATACTGTTATCACACCATCTTTCCAAGAGCGAAACTGAGGCTCCAAAAATGTTAGTAACATGCTGGTAGTTAACAATTAAATGACAGAAGAATCCAGAGTCTATGTTCTTTCTATGATTTGTTCCATAATTTTATTGTATGTATTTGGTACAGGGTCTCACTACACAGCTCTGACCTGCAGCGATCCTCCCATTTTCAGCCTCTCCAGCTCTGGGATTATAGGGGTGTGCCACCATGTCTGGATTTGGTTGCTGGCTTGGTGCACCCAAGGATGGGGCCAGTGCAGCATGCAGGACCTAGAATTGAACCCTGGTCCCTGTGCTTGCCTAAGCAGGGGCTTAGTCTACTGGGCTATCTCATTGGCCCTAGAGCCTGCTTTCTTATTTGCCCTCTTAACTAAGTCTCTGCTCTGGGAGTAAAGTTAGAGACAGATGCCTTCCCCTTCCCAAAAGGTCCTGCTGAAAGTGAGTGACCTCAGAGACAACAGTAGTTCACAAACAACAATAGTACAGCTGTCAGTGACTGAGCTCTTCCTAGACTCCACTCTCCACTGCTATCACTGAACTCTCTCAGCAACCTAGAGAAAGCTCATCCCATTTTACAGACAAAAGACACTGATCCTCAGAAAAATTATTTTGTCCAAAATGACACACATTTTAAAAAAAATCAAAATTCAAACTTACATTGACCCTGATCCTGGGCTATACATTTCTACCTCTGTCTCAAAGCCATCGTTTGTCCTATGGAAACCTTGCAGTGCAGAGAGTTGAAGACTGCAAAGCTAGGAAGTCTCCTGGCCTTTTCCCCAGTCTAGGACTTCCCAGTACCTACATCCCACTCTCAGGTCAGCCCATGACCAGTAACACCCTTAGAGTTGGGCCAAAGTGGTCCTCCTTGGCCACCCTTTCTTCACAGGACCCAGAGCATCTACCCATTGTAAGATCTCTAGAGTACAGTAGAGGACCTGGCAATTCTATTGGCTCAAAGTCCATGCCTAGATGCTGTGCAGGATTTTTCCAGACCCAGGCCCAGAAGTGTAGCTGAGGACAGGTGTTGGCTGGGGTGCACTGGGGCACTGCTGGGGTAGGGGTGTCCGTGCATGTGTACATTTAGGGCTCTGTGGTACAGAATGAACTGGGGGTGGGATACAGAACAATCTGGGGGTGGGGCCAGGGAGATGGCTCAGTAGAATAAGTGTTTCCCTGGCAAGCACAAGGGTCTGAGTTCAATCCCTGGTTCTGCCAAAAAAATAAAAAATAAAAAACAGTTGGCAGAACAATCTGGGGTCTGTGTGCCGGCTCTAATTCTCGCCGCATTGCCACATTTTCCAGGGAGCTGTGAGGACTCTAAGAATTCAACATCCAAATTGGCCTCCCAGGGCCTCATGGTGTGCCTGGGGTAGGAGGATAGAACATTCTGCATCTGGGAAATATTCATTGAACAATTTATTAACTTGATATTTAACCTTTAAGAAGTGCGCCCCCAACTGGGCTGGAACTCATGAATCAAGGATTTAATTTCTTTTCATTGCTCAGATCCATCTACTCCCTCACTCAACACCTCCATGACCTCATTTCCTGTAGAAAGACCACCCTTGCGAAGAATGCTGGATTCTCACTGGTCATGTGTTTGAATCCCCCATTCCAGCACTAGCATGACTGATCCTCAATATGTGTCTATATTTCCAGCAGTCAGCTTCCTGTTTAAATTGCCTGATTATCCAGGATTTGTTTATCCCAGCCAGCATCCAACCCTAGGATGCTCCTGTAAACTCAGGCCTAACCAAATGAGAAATTAGGAAGCCTATCACCAGAGACTTGAAACCACTTGTGGGACAGTTTTTCCGTCTCTTGTCCTATGTTGTTTCTTTTTTTTCTTTTTAGGTTTTTTATTTTTATTTTTTTACTTTATCTATTTATTTATTTATTTTGCAGAACTGGGGATTGAACTCAGGCCCTTGCACTTGCCAGGCAAGTGCTTATTCTACTGAACTATCTCCCCGGCCCCTATGTTTGTTTCTGTCAATGTCTCTGTGTCTCAGTCTTTCCCTCCCCTCCCCTTTTCTCTTTCCATCTTTTCCTTCTCCCTCTCTCCCTCCCAGATCAGTTTTGTCTTCAAAGCAGGAAACACAGCCTTAGATGTCTCTAGGTGTCTTGAGTTCCAAGTTCCAAATCCTTAGTGCAAGAGCTTGCCAGTATATCTTGAATCAATACTTAACTTGGGCCAGCCGAGAGATGGGGATGATTCTTTAAAAAATTGCTGCTTTGAAAGAGCCATGGAGATATAGAGACCCTGGTGTTACTGGGAGGAAGGAGTGTGGTAGCCCACAGATGGCCCCTTATGTGTCTCCTGAGGCTGGACTGTGGATCTCCATTACCACAATTCTATCAGATGACCTGCCTGCCTCCCTCCCATCCTCACTCTCCTTTCCTTCCTTCTTTCTTTCCTTCTTCTCCTCCCTCCCTTTTTCCCTCCTTTCCTTCCTCTCTTTCTCCCTTCTTGATTTTTTATATTAATTTTATTGAGAAAGAAGTAGCAATGAGACAGTTTCAAAACAGGTTCGTAGGACAGTTACAATAATTAATACATTGCATATTGTTGTCTTTGTAGTAGTTATTCATAGTACAAGATGCAGACATGATATCTTATCTAAACATTATTAGTCCAAAATTTTTCTCATTGAACTAAGAAAAAGTAGTTGTGTATCTACCCTATTTTGCATATACAGATACATATATATATATATATATATATATATATATATATATTTCACTACAAAATGGTCCTTCATTTATATCCCCCTTTTTTGTTTACTTTTGTCAGAGATGTGTATTCCATTGCCATTCATATATTGTAGGTGCATGAATTCAACAAAGTAATCCAAGATAGTCCAATACTAGGGCCATGCTTGGAATCCCTATCATTCTGGTTTTCTAAAAGTGTACTGCTTCTAATGTCATATCAATTACTGCTATACTTCCTTCTTGATTTGGATTTGAACAGCATCTTCTCTCCTTGCTGCATCCCACCTCCAGAGGCATAGAGAGGACATGGTCCCAACCCTCCCTCAAACTTGCTGATGGGCCTAGCATATTACTGTGTTCCCTGTGCCTTAATTTCCTCAGCTAGAAAAAGAGGGTGTTTGTTCACACTACTGATTCACCTTCTTCAAGGCTCCTAAGCTGTCAGCCCATCTCTTCCCACCCTGTTTTTCATAAACTCCCAGCAGTGTGTTTCTCTTTGTTCAGCGAGGTAGGTATTGCTTCTTAATCTTTGGTTTTGAGCCACAGTCCTCAGGTTGTAGCCTGCCTACTGGTCCTATTTTCAGTTGACAGATTTGCATGGATGTGTTTTGCTGAGTACACTGTTCCCTCCATTAGCAAATTCCTTGAGGAGATAATACCATAATGGGAAATCAGCGATGCTCAAAACAAAATGATCTCTATAAAGTATGCCTTGGAGAGTTCTAGATACCTCTAGGTGTATCTTCCCACTTCGTCTGCCTTGATGGAAGAAAATGGGTCAGCTAGAGAAACGCCTGACACTTTCCCCTTTCTATCCTGCTCCTGTTCCCTCCTACTAGCATCCTACTTTCTCACCAGCCCTGGTGTTGAGGAATAAATGTAGGAACCAAGTCCAACAATTACATTTCTTTGAATCGAAGTGGGTGCTTGTAGAGTGAGATTGGGGTTTCCTGGACATGAAATTGTTAATTATTGTATTAAAGCTATTTCAGAGGGCTGGGGAGATAGCTCCGCAGTCTAAGCGCTTGCCTGGAAAACTCGAGGACCTGAGTTTGATCCCAGTATCACATGCCAAGCCTTTTTGGGACAGAAGGATTACTACAAGTCTGAGCTGCATATTGAGAACCTGTACCAAATAAATAAAAGCCTTAAAAAAATTTTTTTTTGTTTTTTCTTTTTTAAAAAAAGAAAAAAAGCTATTACAGACGTAGGCTTGGAAGCATGCTCCTATAATCTGAGCACACTGGAGGCAGAGGCAGGAGAATCTTTGAGTTCGAGGCCAGCTTGGGCTACAAAGTGAGTTCAAGGCCAAAGCCATGTCTCAAAATAAAATCAATTTCAAGTGTTGTTTCTTTGTTTATCTCAGTGCTTCTCTAAGTCCTCTATAGCTTCAAGTGCCTGAGAAATCACTAGGAAAAGAACATTTTCTCAAAGTAACTTGACCAGGGAACTCTTTCTCTAAGATACATCATGCGACACTTAAGGGAATGCTGTTTGAACTAAAGCTCATCTACATTTGTGTTACTCCATTCAGCCTCTTAAATGTTGTTTTTCTGTCATCTTTTGTTTTAAAGTTGACCATCTTCCATCTTTTCAATTCACCTTCCCATCGGTCCTGTGAGGCAAGCACTGTCCTTAAAACAAGAAGGAAACTACAGAAAACGAGAATGTAGGGTGTCTCATTCGGAGCCTCATCTCTGAGGACCCAGGCATTGGCTAGACAAGCCCCGTAGCCCCAGTAAACATATAAAGAAACAGAGCTGCAGAGAGATATCAGGGGCAGAGCCTTGTGTGGAAGTCA